TAAAAAATAGTAAGATGTTCGTTTGTAACCCCAAGGGGTGTACGGAAATTATTACTCCTAGACCCCCTTGGCAGGGGGGGCTGTACGAAAGATGATAGGCAAGTGAAGGGTGTTTCCCAAAGTACTACCTAAAGAAAATTTAATTTTAAAGAATTCCGTGCAGTGTTAGTGGGGGCAGAAAAAATGTAAAATAAGGCCTCTCCTTTAGATAAGTAAGATAAGATTTTGTTCGGATTTTCCCCCGGGGGGTTTAGCCCCCCCCGGATAACCCAAGAAAGTCAGTGCGTCATCGAGGACTGTCAAAATTATTTCCATTGGGGCCCTTTAAAACTTGCCCCCCAGGGGGGGACCCCACCAGTGTTTAAACCCAGGTACCTATTTGTCTAGGTAAAACAGGAAAACAGGTGTAAGGAACGTGTCGGAATTTCCCCCGCCGGAATCAAACCCCGGGCCCCCGGTGTGAAGGGGGAGTTTAGCCCCCAGACACCGGGCCCAAATGAGTGAAAACCCCTGATGCAGATGTATTAACACCTTCTCCCCAAATATGGGGAAAGGAAAGGGAAGCCCCCTGTCTATAGAGATATCCGGAAGAAAGTGATAAAGTTACATGATGGGGCGTGTTGTTAATAAATTTTTAAAATGTTAAATAAAGTTTTTGATCTTGGTCTAATTTTGTGGTGAAAGGGAAATATTTTTACCTAAGTGAACCTTTTTGGTGCGCAGAGGCAGTAAATTGACAGCCTTTAACCAGGTGAATTTGTTAATTGACATGAAAACATCGAACATTGTGGCCCGGTGGCCCGGTGGCCGGTGGCAAAGCCCCCGCTTCACACACGGGGGCCCCCGGGTTCGTTTCCCCGGCGGGTGGAAACATTCGACACGTTTCCTTACACTGTTGCTGTTCACTAGCAGCAAATAGGGTCCCCTGGGTGTTAGTCGACTGGTGTGGGTCGCCCCTGGGGGACAAGATTAAGGACCCCAGGAATAAGTTAGACGTCCTCGATGACGCACTGATTTCTTGGGTTTCCCGGGGGGGTGGCTCCCCTCCGGGGTTAAAAACCCAAACGAAATTTTTCTTATTTCTTATTTGTGGCCTTGGAAAAAAGTATTGACTTGTACCCGTGCCAAGGTGTTGTCGGGAAATGTAAAAGTGTTGTGTCTGGCCGGGAAAAGTTTACGCACAATTAAAAAATTTGATTTTTTTGGGAAATTAGGTGTCAGTCAAATGAAAATGTAAATCTGGGGGGAAAGTGACACGGTGTATGGAAGATACGCGCCCAAGTGATCCCAGAAGAAAAATCGTAGTAAGCCCCTATAGGGAAAAACACCAAAACCCAGAATGGCTGGAATTCTCCTAAAGGAAGGGAAATTTGAATTTTTAGAACGAACCCAGCCAGCCGCGTGTGGAAAATACTGTATATATTTTCCAAAATTTCCCGTATTTTATGTAAATAATGGCTATACTGTATTTTAAAAATATTATGTCATAGAAACGGAAACTGCGTCGCGCAGAGGGGACTCGCCATCTTTGGTTTGATTTGGTACAAGTTTAAAATAATGAGAAAAATTTTTCGTGCTCTAGAGGTTAAAATTTGGGTTGACACCTCTCAAATAGGAGGGAAATTGTTGGTTTGGATTCCTGATAAATTGAGTATCAGCGATGGACAAAACGCTCCATGAACCCCAGATTTCTTTGATTTGGTTAATTTGGCCCGTGTTTTATAATTTAGTTAGTGAGGTTTTTCTGAGTAATATCAACTTAATACAGTCAAAATTTGGGGAGTGAATTTTGGATATATTTTTCCCTTTTTTTATGTAATTGTGATATATTTAAACCTTTTTTATTTTAATTACAGTCCACAAAAATTTTTATATTTCCCGTATTCTGGTGTATGTATATTTTTTAAATTAAAAGGTCAAAAAGGGAACTTGGGATATGACAGGGTAGGGTTTGAAAAGGGGGAAAAATTTTTTCGACCCAGGTGTCCCAATTCTATTGTTATGTAAAATTTATAAATAATAAAAATCTTTATTATCATTTACTGTTTTGACATAATTAGTACATTCAGTAAAAGCAATTTTTCCCAAAGTTTAGCAAAAACTAATCTGTTGATGGGGTAACGAAAAGAGCTTGGTATGAAGTTTCTTAAAAATATAGTGCGCCCCAAAAAACATTTATTCGTATAAAGAATAAAAGAATAAAAAAGACCTGAAAGGATAAATAATATGCTCAAAATCTTTTAGGAAAAGAAAGGAATTTACAGGCGAATCAAAAAATGAGGGTCATTCTAGATGTCGCCTGTAAGATTCATTACAATATGAACCACACTTCTATACCAAAATAACTAAGCCAACAAGGCTCACTGAGACAAGTGCAAACCCTAATAGACACATATGGACAAATATAGCCCCCCCTTAAAACAGGGTAATCACAGATGCATACAGACCATCTCTCCTTCCCCCTGACAAAATTAGTAACCCCCATTGAATACAACAAAGTCCATTTAGACTCCCTGACGAGGCTCAGTAAGGAAATTCCGTGACCCAGAGACTTTTGATTGGCCCACAGAATTCTCCCAAAGGGCCCAAAGGTATTGATGATGGAAGAAATTTTTCTTAACAAAATTTCTTAGACTATACAACAAACATTTCCTTAAAAACGAAACGTTTACAAACAAACGGCTTGGTTGCCATGGCTAACCAGCTATTCTGAATCCTTGACAAGAAACACCAATATGAAAAGAATTAGCAGGGTTATACACAAAGATATTCCCTTTTTAAAATATTCTCAGCTCTCACCAAATAAAAAAGAAAGCCAAAAAACTTACTACTCCCGCGATTCACGACACTAGAGGATATATAAAAAAGACCCGGAAAACACTCTCTCAGATTTGGGACAAAAAAATGAGAAAAAAACCCGAAAAATTGTCCTAAAAAAACCTATGAAAAACCACTACATGCACTGAACAGCTAAAAGATAAACGATTCTTTAACCATAGGATTAATCCGCCCGTAAAATCCCCATACCCAAAGCCCCTGGGGGATACTTGATGGGAATTTCCCTAATTCCTTCTATCTTTCACCAACTGAGCCCACGGAAGTCACTGAGATTTTTTAAAAGTCACTTAAAAAAAAACTTGGGGGGAACTGTTCGTCCACCCCTTATGTACAAAGGGGCGGCCCTGTCCTTTCGCATGCTTTTCATTTCTTTTTAACAAGTCACTAGAGCTGCACCTTCCCCCAAACTACTCAAGATGGCAAGGGTTTTTCCCAATACATAAAGTGGGACCCTAAGCTTAAAAACTACAGGCAATATCTAACTTACCATTCTATCCAAAACTTTTAGAAAATCGTGCACAGGAGATGTATTCATTTTAAAGGCTCAAAAAATTAACCCTGCCCCAAATTTGGTTCAGGAAAAAAAAAAAGCACTAATGATGCAATCATAAAAATGTAGTTTTGCTTACACAGCATTGGAAAAAAAAGGAATATCCCCTGGAATTTTTATTGACCTTAAAAAAAGCTTTTGACACAGTAGACCACGCATCCTACTCACAAACTTTATCATTGGTTAAAGGCCCTCGCTTGCTTTTTCAAATCTTACATTCTTTTAGGGATCAGTACCCTCACCATTAAAAACACGCTCAGCAACAGGCCACTTGTACTGGAGTTTGCAGGGGAATGTCCTTGGTCCCCCGCTCTTCCTCTATCACAATGACCTTCCAAAACGTATCCCAAAACCTGAAACCTTCTCTTTGTGTGACACGACTTATGTCATCTCTCACCCCAATCTTTTCCACCCCCAAACCATTGTGATGGGAGCTGTTAAAATATCGAAATTGGTGACACCAATAAAAATTACGCTTAACACTGACAAAAAACCCCTTATTTTTGTTTGGTAGCAGGAGGAGATGCTCAATTTAACATTAGTTGACAAAAACTTAATTCCCGAAAAAATTGGGGGGAAAATTTCCCAGGTTATACCTTTCAACAACTGAATTCAACCCCTTCAGATTAACCAAAAAAGTTCCAAAACGGTTGGGTCCCCCCAGATCGTACTTACGTGCCCCAAAATGCCCCTTTTCACCTATACCCTCACTTATTTATCCATACTCACCTATGCTATTTTTTGGGTTGGGGTAAAATGCGCAACCACCTTTTAAAACCCAAAAATAACCCAACAAAAAATTTTCATTAAGAATAATCATAAACCCATCCCTGGCAACACCCCCCCACTCTTCAAGACCTAAACTTACTCCCCGTTCAGTACATCCACATTCTACTGGAATTCATCTACTGGACCTTAAAATCTAATACAACCTTGACCTAAAACGCTTTCTTGATAGTTGTGACAGAACCCACAGGCATAACACCAGACACAAACATCTCTACGACATTCCCCGTGTCCGACTAAACCTTTAAAAAAATTCAATGTATGTCAAAGGCCCTAAAATCTGGAATACCCTACCTGAGAACTCTAGAACTGCAGACACATTCATCCCCTTTCAAAACTACCATTAGAAACATCTTATTCCCTGATACACCCCGTCAACTAACTACACGAATAACCACCTGGTGGTTCACACTTGCACTCACTGACTCATTTGACCATAAACAAATATTAATTCTCAATCTTAAAATAATGAATCCTGTGATACCCCAAATTACTGAAACTAGTACTGTGCCAAACAAAAGCATTCACATTGCTAAACTCACAAACTAGTATTTAGTCACTTAGCCATAATACCAACTTACCTCATAATTTGTAATATTTTACAATTAAGAATAAAATTAAGTATGCCCGAAATGCCTAGCCATGCTAAGCGTTCTAGTGGTACACTCTGTAATCACTATTTTACTACATGTAAACCACACAATAACCAAATTTCTGTTAACTCAGCATTGTAATCCTTATAGAGAATAAACTTTGAATTTGAATTTGAATTGAATTGAATCCTGACTACATAGGGTGTTAATTTTTTATTAATGATAAGGGACCATTTTCTGTGGTTGTGAAGGTTAACTCTGGCAGAAAGTTTTATCCCACGTGAGACGTCAGACGCTCTCTCTGCTTTTCGTCTCATTTTATAGAGAATTATTGCACTTGTTAACACTTCTGGAGGAGGTTAGTGAGCAGTGGAGCTTTTTGTTCCATTCCCGGTACATTAGAGCTTTGAGTAATGCAGGGAATTGAATGTCAGGTGATGTTATATAAGCAAACACTCCAGGGGAAACTGGTCACTGGCTTTTTTTTTTTTTTTATTTGTTTCGGGGGGAGGGAGGTAATCCTACGTAATTTACACATGTTATTATGTATGATAATCTGTGTAACTGTATTAATTTGTCCCAGAATAAACTTTAGGTCAATGTTTTAAAGAGGAATTTCTGGGGCTTTGTTTCACCTTTGTGTTGGTCATGTTGCTGAGTCCAGCTCTGTTTTGTCACAGGCTCTTGATTCATGCAGTTGGAGCAGCTCCTCTCCTTCCTAGGATTAAACCCTAAGTATGGATAAACTGATATATAATGACCCCCTCCCTTCTCTCAGGGGGAATGAAGCCACAAGGAATTTACTGCGGTCATCCTACATTATAATAATAAAAATAATAATAATAATCTTTATTTCTACAAGTGCATATACAAGGCTAAATAAAGTACTAAATATGTGAACCTATAGCTGTGTGTATGTGTCTGCAGCATAAGTGTGCTTGTGATTCTTATGGGTTTAGCGCTCTCCCACGAATGTAATGTCATGAAGACCATTATAAATACAATTTTAACTTTTTAAAAAAAAATGTTAAAATTCTTGCCTGGTCAGTGACAATGCTGCAGAAACAGCGGTCGTGGAGAAAAAACCAATGGTGGAGTAAGGTTAAGTTATGTTAGGTGTTTGTTTTAGATGGTTTTCTTTAGTTTGGTGAAGTTCTTTGCCATTTGCACAATATCTAATGTAACACACACACAGTACTATACAGTTTACACTTTGGCAGTATAAGTCACATTTTTGTGTAAGTTTATTTTGGTACAGGTCCACGTAAGTACAATTATCATACATAGTAACATGTGTGTAAGTTACCTAGGATAACTCAAGAAAATCAGAGTGACTTATTTCCATTGGATCGTTTTGGATTATCCTAGGTACATAATTTACACATGTTAAATTGTATATGATAGTTGCACTTATGTGTACCTGTACCTAAATAAGCTTACTTTTACCTACTTGTTAGAACTCATATATTATTTGGACTTTTTAATTCAAGATTTGTGTATGGTACCATTGACAGCATCCTCAGCTTGAACACTTAGGGACTGAGGATTGTACCCCATCACAGGTAAGTCAGTAAAGCTTATTTAGGTATACACAAGCATAGTTACATAGATTATCATACATAGCAGTATATGTGTAGAGAACCTAGGATAACCCAAAAAAGTCAGATTGAAATGTTAGGCATGTTTCCTCACACCTCTGTTCATGTAGCAGTAAGTACAGTCAGTACCTGAGTGTTAGACTGTTGTGGGTTGCATTCTGGTGGTCAAGATAAAAGGCCTACAAGGGAAATAAGACTGACATTCCTCTATGATGCAAGGGCTTTATTGGGTTATCTTGGGGGGGGCTAACCTTCCACATTAAAATTCCAAATGAAGTCTTTATCTTGCATTGCAGAATCGATAAGTATATCTTGTACAAATGTTCTTCGAGAACAGTATTAAAAGAAATTGGCTATGATTTGTTAGGCTAGGCTATATTATGTTAGGTTATGTTTACTCAGGGTTGAGTTAGGTACATAACATTTGGTTAGGTTGTGCAACAACCTGAAAATTCAACCTGTCTTCATGTTCTGCCAGGTGCGAGATGTGCCCCGGTGTGCAGTGTGACAAATAAATGTATTCATTTTCCTTATACATATCTCCTTAAATAATAGTTTGCACAAGGAGTGATTACTACTATTATACTGTACACAGATTGTATATATTGAAAAGTACAAAATAATGACAAGAGTCAGTGGCATAATTGGTGGCAACTATTACCTAAACTTTCATCCTTGAAATTTGTTGAGGAGTGGTCTTCAGTTATTACCCAAGGGACCTTACAGTTTCCATTTCCTAGATGCTGTATTGCTCCTAGTAATTTATTGCTTTCCCATGATACAGGTCAATGCATTTACTGGTATTTTGATCGAGGGACCCTTGTGGAAATAGTGTTTGACTTTCTTGGGCTATCCTAACTGAAATCTACACAATTAACTTTTTGTGCTTATAAAATCTGTGACCCCTGCAGAACATTGCTTTTTTTTTTATTTTCAGTGCCCATATAAAAACTTATTTTTACTAAAGGAGACTTTAGCAGTTTTATAACTTAACCCTTAAACTGTCCAAGCAGATCTACGTTCACATGCGTAGTGCTTCAGAAGTAGATCTATGTTTTTTTTTACATATTTTCAAATATAACAAAAAAAAAAAAAACATCTATCAAAGTTTTTTTTACACTTTTTCAAATGTAAAAAAAGAAAAGATCTACTTTTTTACAATCTTTCAAATGTTGAAAAAATGTAGATCTACGTTTGGACAGTTTAAGGGTTAATTCTCCCCATTAGCCTAACAGTATAATAAAATCTCATGCTGTCTTGTGTCATCTCATCTAGTGTTGTCTTCCATGATACTGTGGAAGTACAGGCTGGCATTATAGCCAGAGTGCTGGTTGGAGGCCATCACACTGAATTAAGACTCAAATATACAAGAACATAAGGATTGTGGATTGCAATAAGTTAAGTTTTGTTTGCCTACTTCACTTTTGCCAGGCAGGTCCAGTAGTATTCACACTCTGTATATAGATATTTTTTCAGAGGCAAAAGCATTTAATTATGAAGTAAGGTTAGGTAGTAAAGTTAGGCAGTCTTATGTGAAGTAACGGTAAATCACTGAAAGACATATCTGTGTATATTCTCCTAAGAATTTACACTATTTCCTATTTACAAAACAGAAGCTTTACAATTTAAACAAATTAGAACAAACACTGATTAAAACATGATTTAACTAATGTATGTAACATACCTGGGTGAACAGCTTTTCATAACAGTAGCCTAAGTAAGAAGGTGAAAGAAACTGCAATTTACTATGCTAATAAGCTGAAGTGTATAAATATAAAATTACTATGATGAACTTGGAGAATATATATATTGACACAATTTATAACTAATTAATAAGCAATTATGCTAAAGCTTTAGAAACAATTGGAGCTACTGTATATACATAATAAGCTAAATATTTTTTTTTTTTAACACATCAGCCGATTCCCACCAAGGCAGGGTGGCCTGAAAAAGAAAAACTTTCATCATTCACTCCATCACTGTCTTGCCAGAGGGGTGCTTTACACTAGTTATAAAACTGCAACATTAACACCCTCCTTCACAGTGTAGACACTGTACTTCCCATCTCCAGGACTTGTGTATATAAGAATTATATCCTATGTACATTACCACAAGCATTTAGCTTCAGTGACATCTTCAACATAGCAAGTATTACATTCAAGGAAGCAGCCTAATAATAGCTGGCAGTTTTTAATATTAACCTTTTAGTGTTATGGGAGAGGTTAAATGTTACGCTATTGCTGCTGTCACTGCTGCTTTGATACTGGCAGCACAGCTGGACTGGACTCTGTAATACAGTACTAGAAATAAGAGGGTAATGGGATCAGGCTGTGCAGTGGCTGGCTGGCTGGCTGCATGAGCTTTGAAGGATAGAATTTGTTTTTGCTTTCTCGGATGTGCTAATAACAAGATTTTTCATTTTTATTGGATATTTGATTACACTTTTGAGATTGCAGGATGATGAAAATACTATACTGTAAATGCCCTTCTTGTGGGAGTCTGCTTTATTTAAAATGTTCATCAATACAGTAATCTTTAATAAATGTGTCATTCTAAAATTTTACATCCTTGCTTAGGGTAATTCCTCTTGAGTGGCTTGTATATAAATGTAAATATTTTTAATGTAGTAGCTACATTTGTTTAATACATGTTATTCAATTTTTTTCCAGTTTATGTTCAGTATAGCCTAACTCCAATGCCTCACATACGATCCAAGACAGTGGGAAGCGAACATTTACGAAGGGAAACTTCTCATCTGGTCAGGGGTAGGTCTACAAGACAGAGTATTGCAAATGCAACTCAGAATTCACATTCCAGTGGAAGTGCTAGTGAGGCATTAATCACTCTATCTCAAGTTGATAATAAGCAACTGAAAAGGCCTCAAGCATTGACTGATCACAGTCAGGATTCTTCTACAAAACGTTTGAAAACTTTTCATAAACCTGTTCATACTCGATCTTCACATGTTCCTGTGGAAAGTAAGAATGGAAGAGAATCTAGAGTTACGTCTGATCAATCAAAATTGCAAAATGAAAATACTGTACCATGCCATGAACTTATTGCTAGAAAAACTAATGCATCTCCAAGGAAACTTAGATTAAGAAACTCAGAATCTTCTGATTCCAAAGTCCTCCTTACCCCAACAAATACAAAAACAGAAGGTGTGATCTTACCAAGTTCTAGACATCGGGAGCAAGTAAAAATATACCAAGGTTTAGAAGCACCTCCAGTCTCAGAAACAGTGTTTTGCAGTACTGGTTTCACTAGAAAAACTGAAGCAAGACCAGAGAATGAGTTGGGCTCTTTGAGAAATGAAGTGCATTCCAAGCAACTTAGTCAAGCAGGAAAAGAGGTGAGTTAAAATTTAATAACAAAAATAATTGCAGTGAATATTTTGTAATCTGTCTACACTTCTGTTTAAATTATTACACTATTTTTTAAAATACAGTATGTTATTTTATTTTTTATTATCACACTGGCTGATTCCCACCAAGGCAGGGTGGCCCGAAAAAGAAAAACTTTCACCATCATTCACTCCATCACTGTCTTGCCAGAAGGGTGCTTTACACTACAGTTTTTAAACTGCAACATTAGCACCCCTCCTTCAGAGTGCAGGCACTGTACTTCCCATCTCCAGGACTCAAGTCCGGCCTGCCGGTTTCCCTGAACCCCTTCATAAATGTTACTTTGCTCACACTCCAACAGCACGTCAAGTATTAAAAACCATTTGTCTCCATTCACTCCTATCAAACACGCTCACGCATGCCAGCTGGAAGCCCAAGCCCCTCGCACACAAAACACCTTTACCCCCCCCCTCCAACCTTTCCTAGGCCGACCCTACCCGCCTTCCTTCACTCCCGACTGATACATCTTGAAGTTTTTCTGTTTGCTCCATTCTCTCCACATGTCCGAACCACCTCAACAACCTTCCTCACCCCTCTGGACAACAGTTTTGGTAATCCCGCCCCTCCTCCTAACTTCCAAACTAGAATTCTCTGCATTATATTCACACCACACATTGCTCTCAGACATGACATCTCCACTGCCTCCAGCCTTCTGCTGCAACATTCATCACCCATGCTTCACACCATATAAAGAGCGTTGGTAAAACTATATCTCATACATTCCCTCTTTGCCTCCCAAAGGGCAAAGTTCTTTGTCTCCACAGACTCCCAAGGGGCACCACTCACCCTTTTCCCCCCATCAAAATTTTATGATTCACCTCATCTTTCATAGACCATCCTCTGACATTTTCCTTTCCCCAAAAATCTGAATACATTCACCTCCTCCATATCTCTCTCCAGTCTGATATCCCAAACTTTCATCACCTAAACTTTTTGTTTCCTCATAACCTTACTCTTTCCTGTATTCAAATTTCAATTTTTCTTTTGCACACCCTACCAAATTCATCCACCAATCTCTGCAACTTCTCTTCAGAATCTCCCAAGAGCACAGTGTCATCAGCAAAGAGCAACTGTGACAACTCCCACTTTATGTGTGATTCTTTATCTTTTAACTCCACGCCTCTTGCCAAGACCCTCGCATTTACTTCTCTTACAACCCATCTATAAATATATTAAACAACCACGGTGACATCACACATCATTGTCTAAGGCCTACTTTTACTGGGAAATAATTTCCCTCTTTCCTACATACTCTAACTTGAGCCTCACTATCCTCGTAAAAACTCTTCACTGCTTTCAGTAACTACCTCCTACACCATACACCTGCAACATCTGCCACATTGCCCCCTATCCACCCTGTCATACGCCTTTTCCAAATCCATAAATGCCACAAAGACCTCTTTAGCCTTATCTAAATACTGTTCACTTATATGTTTCACTGCAAACACCTGGTCCACACACCCCCTACCTTTCCTAAAGCCTCCTTGTTCATCTGCTATCCTATTCTCCATCTTACTCTTAATTCTTTCAATAATAACTCTACCATACACTTTGCCAGGTATACTCAACAGACTTATCCCCCTATAATTTTTGCACTCTCTTTTATCCCCTTTGCCTTTATACAAAGGAACTATGCATGCTCTCTGCAATTCCTAGGTACCTTACCCTCTTCCATACATTTATTAAATAATTGCACCAAAAATCCAAAACTATATCCCCACTGCTTTTAACATTTCTTTCTTTATCCCATAAATCCCGGCTGCCTTACCCCCTTTCTTTTTTACTATTTGCCTCACGAACTTCCCCACACTCACAACTGGCTCTTCCTCACCCCTAAAAGATGTTTTTCCCTCCTTGCCCCATACACGAAATCCAGCTTCCCTATCTTCATCAACTTTTAAAACAATTCCTCAAAATATTCCCTCCATCTTCCCAATACTTTTAACTCTCCATTTAATAACTCTCCTCTCTATTTTTAACTGAGAAATCCATTTTTTTCTCTAGGTTTTCTTAATTGTTAATCTCACTCCAAAATTTTTTCTTATTTTCAACAAATTTGTTGATTACATCTCCCCACTCTTCATTTGCTCTCTTTTTACATTGCTTCACCACTCTTTAACGTCTCTCTTTTTCTCCATTTTACTTTTCCCCTCCTTGATCATTTTACTTTGTAAAAACTTCTCATATGCTAACTTTTTCTCCCTTATACTCTCTTCACATCTTCATTCCACCAATCCTCCTCTTCCCTCCCGCACCCACTTTCCTGTAACCACAAACTTCTGCTGAACACTCTAACCCTACATTTTAAACTCCCCCATACCTCTTCGACCCCATTGCTATGCTCTCATTAGCCCATCTATCCCCAATAGCTGTTTATATCTTACCCTAACTGCCTCCTCTTTTAGTTTATAAACCTTCACCTCTCTTTCCCCGATGCTTCTATTCTCCTTGTATCCATCTACCTTTTACTTCAGTGTAGCTACAACTAGAAGTGATTGATTATCTGTGGCCCCTCTATAAACATTTTACATCTGAAATCTACTCAACAGTCTTTTTTTCTACCAATACATAATCCCAAAAAACTACTTCTTTCGCCCTACATCATATTTGTATACTTATTTATCCTCTTTTTCTTAAAATATGTATTACTATAACTAAACCCCCTTTCTATACAAAGTTCAATCAAAGGGCTCCATTATCTTTTTAACCTGGGACCCCAAACTTACCTACCACACCTCTCTAAAGTTTCTCCTTTCTTTAGCATTCAGGTCCCCTTACCACAATTTTCTCTTCACTTGGTTTAAAAGCTCCTATACATTCACTTAACTTCTCCAAAATCTCTTCCCTCTCTCTGCATTCTCTCTTCTCCCGGTGCATACACGCTTATTATGACCCACTTCTCGCATCCAACCTTTACTTTAATCCACATAATTCTTGCATTTACACATTCATATTCTCTTTTCTCTTTCCATGACTGATCATTCAACATTACTGCTACCCCTTCCTTTGCTCTAACTCTCTCATATACTCCAGATTTAATCCCATTTATTTCTCCCCACCGAAACTCCCCTACCCCCTTCAGCTTTGTTTCGCTTAGTTTTAAGCAAATTTGTCTGCTAGTGTTATTTTATTTTAGTAGTTTAATGTTATGGCATTTATTTCCATGTACTTTATTTTAGTTGCTTGATATTATTGCAGTTATTTCCATTATTTCTTTTTCGGGTCACCCTGCCTTGGAGGGAATGGCCGATGTCTAATAAAAAAAAATATTTCAGTGTACTTTTTATTGTTTGTTATTGCAACTTTTTTTTTAACAAGTCAGCCGTCTCCCACCGAGGCAGGGTGACCCAAAAAGAAAGAAAATCCCCAAAAAGAAAATACTTTTATCATTCAACACTTTCACCTCACTCACACATAATCACTGTTTTTGCAGAGGTGCTCAGAACACAACAGCTTAGAACCATATACGTATAAAGATACACAACATATCCCTCCAAACTGCTTTAGAGTGCAGGCATTGTACTTCCCATTTCCAGGACTCAAGTCCGGCTATACAAAAATCACTGGTTTTCTTGAATCCCTTCACCAAATATTACCCTGCTCACACTCCAACAGATCGTCAGGTCCCAAATACCATTCGTCTCCATTCACTCCTATCGAACACGCTCATGCACGCCTGCTGGAAGTCCAAGCCCTTCGCCCACAAAACCTCCCTTATCCCTTCCTCCCAACCTTTTCGAGGACGACCCCTACCCCGCCTTCCTTCCCCTACAGATTTATACGCTCTCCATATCATTCTACTTTGATCCATTCTCTCTAAATGACCAAACCACCTCAACAACCCCTCTTCAGCCCTCTTGACTAATACTTTTATTAACTCCAAACCTTCTCCTAATTTCCACACTCCGAATTTTCTGCATAATACGTATTTACACCACACATTGCCCTTAGACAGGACATCTCCACTGCCTCCAACCGCCTCCTCGCTGCTGCATTCACAACCCAAGTTTCACACCCATATAAGAGTGTTGGTACTACTATACTTTCATACATTCCCTTCTTTGCCTCCATAGATAACGTTTTTTGTCTCCACATATACCTCAACGCACCACTCGCCTTTTTTCCCTCGTCAATTCTATGATTAACCTCATCCTTCATAAATCCATCCACCGACATGTCAACTCCCAAGTATCTGAGAGCATTCACTTCTTTCATACTCCTCCTACCCAATTTAATATCTAATTTTTCTTTATCTAAATCATTTGATACCCTCATCACCTTACTTTTTCTATGTTCACTTTCAACTTTCTACCTTTACACACACTCCCAAACTTATCCCACTAACCTTTGCAATTTTTCTTTAGAATCTCCCATAAGCACAGTATCATCAGCAAAAAGTAACTGTGTCAATTCCCATTTTGTATTTTATTCCCATAATTTAATCCCACCCCTTCCTAAAAAACCTAGCATTTACTTCTTTTCCCAACCCATCTATAAATATATTAAACAACCATGGTGACATTACACTCCCTGTCAAAAGACCTACATTTACTGGGAAGTAGTCTCCCTCTCTTCTACACACCCTATTCTGAGCCACACTATCCTCATAAAAACTCTTTACAGCATTAAGTAACTTACCACCTATTGCATATACTTGCAACATCTGCCACATGCTTCCCTATCCACTCTATCATATGCCTTTTCTAAATCCATAAATGCAATAAAAACTTCTCTACCTTTATCTAAATACTGTTCACATATATGCTTCAATGTAAACACTTGATTGCAACTACAGTGGACCCCCGGTGAAATTGCTGACCTAGAAAATGTACAGAGAACCTTCACGGCGCGCATAACGGAGATAAAACACCTCAATTACTGGGAGCGCTTGAGGTTCCTGAACCTGTATTCCCTGGAACGCAGGCGGGAGAGATACATGATTATATAC